AGATAGCCCTAGTGTAGCTTTGCGCGAAAATTTAAAAAACAAACTTTACAGCAAATATTCATACATTAGTTAGCCACGCCGCGTATTTTTGTTTCATCCACCAGCATGCCCCAAAGTGAACAAAAAAAACGCGGCTGGCTAACTAATGTATGAATATTTGCTGTGAAATTCTTATAAAAGCTATAAGTGTAGCTACCAATTTGACAGCCAACTTTGATTTCATTCCTTTAAGTCGCACACTCAATCCTTTTGTGGCCACACCTTTTTTTTTCCACACTTAAGATGTTTTTGATTCGATATCATGACTTTTTCTCAATACACACCAACAAACCACAGCAAGTAAGAAAGTGACACTCGATGTTAACCAACATTAGCTTTAGGTTCGCAACCAACCAGATTCTTTAAAATATATGGTGGTAGTTTTTCCTCTCTAAAACAGTGTTAATTACTTCCTTTATAGTAACGCCATGGAATTTAGATTAATAGTTTCTTGTCATCACCCGCATTCACTCGGTACAGCCGTATCAAGCATCATTATTTACACTAATTGCTTACGCTAATATCGCGTGACGCTAAACGCTCTTTAATTAGGGGAATTCCATAAAATGTAGCAAATTTGTGCTTAAAAGTTGGTAATGAATAATCAATAATAACCGTCCATTTGAATTATTCTTTTGAAAACTTGAGCTAGAAACTGTTAATCTAGTTTGCTTGGCCTAACCAACACTTACGTATCTGCACGTCCTTTCACCCAATAGTTTTGCTGCTCTAAATCAGCCATCTTTAATCCGAGTGACAAAAACTAAAAACTTTTCACTTTTACTCTTGGGTGAAACTGTAGAAAAAAGTTTAGACCCACAAATTACGTGAATTTTTCAGTAGGCGAGCGCGAAACTTTTGTTCAAATTTGAGCGTATTTGTTGAATAACTTTGCTCATATAGCCTATATTTAGACCACATTTGATATATAATTGTACATTCTAAAGATCTATTAATGTAAGAAACTTGAGAAAAATCCATAAAAGTTAAGTATGTTTTTCTATCAAATAAAGTTTCTGTACTTTTGGTGAGAAGAAAATATAAACAGAAAGAAACTCAATCAAAATTGGAGATGTTATATCTCAAGTATTTCTTAATGGATTGCCTTGAAACTTGGTATGTGAAGTAGAGCACATTCACTGAAAATATATGATAGTTTGGATTATCACAGTCAGAGCTACCGAAACTGGAAAATCGCTAAATTATCACTCCTGTTAATAACACACTCTGCAGGTTGTTTTCGCTGCACTACACACTACCGCGTGTCTTCGTTTACATTTCTCATTGTTTCAAAAACTTTGTTAAATGTTTATGAATTTTTTTATACGTTTTTATATTTGAAATGTGCGGTTTCGTTTCTCTTTCTGGAAACCGGGTTTCGATAACTTAACTATACACACACACACACACAAACAAATTCTCTTTCTTTAACAGTATTTTACTAAACCTTTCAAGTGCACGTAGTTTTATAACCGAAGAAAATAAAAATGATACCAAATTAATGACCCCAATAAAAAAACTCAGCAAGTTAAAGATGACCTTGTAAAATATTCAAAGATATTAGGTGATCTTATGAAACAAAGGAAGTTAATAGATGATCTTATAAAACAAAGCAAGTTAATAGGTGATCTTTTGGAACAAATAAAGTTAATAGGTGATCTCTTGGAACAAAGCAAGTTAATAGATGATCTTTTGGAACAAAGGAAGTTAATAGATGATCTTATGAAACAAAGCAAGTTAATATGTGATCTTATGAAACAAAGCAAATTAATAGGTGATCTTATGAAACAAAGGAAGTTAATAGATGAGCTTTTTTAACAAAGGAAGTTAATAGATGATCTTATGAAACAAAGCAAGTTAATAGATGATCTTATGAAACAAAGGAAGTTAATAGATGAGCTTTTTTAACAAAGGAAGTTAATAGATGATCTTATGAAACAAAGGAAGTTAATAGATGATCTTATGAAACAAAGGAAGTTAATAGATGATCTTATGAAACAAAGCAAGTT